TGGCCTGCCGGGAATCGAACCTGCGCTGCAGAGGCCACAGACAGCTTCACAGCACTGCACTCAACCCGCTGTGCCACGGGGGAGGCCTGTTCCTAATGTTTTGTTGGAGTTAGAACTTTTGAGTGTTGAAATTGGATATTTTTCTGAAGAAATTTCTAAGTGAAGTTTTAAAGGAGTGTCCTGTTTCCTGCTGACTGTGTATAGTAAAGTATGAAGGAAGATTAATTGAAGGAGGAATTGTTAATGGAAAAGGAACAAGGACTTTAAGATTTGGAAAATTCAGTCACTGTATAATGCAAAAAAAAAAAAAAAAGAGAGAGAAAATTGTTGGGGCCAGACTATTATTTGATGAAAAGTTTATGGAATTATAGTAGCAGAAACACTGCCACTTTTAACTGAAGGAGATGGAAATGTGACAAAGCGAAGGAAGGTTGTTAGACTTCTTGGATTTGACAGAATGGGACAGTAGAGCTATATGGCTTCAAACTTGTATCATTCTTCAGGAAGAGGGAAAAATTGACCCCAACATGATTCAGAGATCATCAGTGCCACAACTCAATTCACAGGCCACATGGCCTGTGCCCAAAGCATTTGGGGCAGGATCACCAGGACCCTTTTGGGTGGGAGCCTAGGCTAACTCACCTGCAGAGGCAGGACCCCTAGCTACAGCCACAGTGGGTCTGGAGAGCAGAGTACTGAACCAAAGAGAAAAAACTTTGAAGCTTAAAATCTATTGGAATTTGCCTTGTTGGGTTTTGGTTTTGTGTGGGACCCCTCACCCCTTTCTTCCTTCTAATTTCTCCCTTTGGGGAGGGAAATGTCTATTCTATGTCTGTCCTGTCATTGGATTTAGAAGCAAATAACCTATCTGTCCTTCAAGGACAGATGAGTTCCATATTCACAGTTAGAGAGGAATTTTACCTCAGGATAAAGCATACCCTGGGTCTCATCTATTTCTGATTTAAAATGTATTTAGATGAATTTAGACTCTTGAGTTGATGCTGGAATGCATTAAGATTTCAAGGGCCATTGGAATGGAATGAATATACATTACAAGCAAAAGAACATGTATTGGAGGGATCTAGGTGGGGAATTATATGGACTGAATGTGTCCCCTCCAAAATTTGTTTGTTAAATCCCTAACATCCAATGACACTGTATTAAAAAATAGGGTGTTTAAGGTAATTAAGGTGACATGAGGTCATAAGGGGTGCAGTCCTAATCTAATAGGATTTATGGAAGAAAAGAAAGAGAATATAAAGGAGAAGAAAGGGAGGGAGGGACTTGTACACACACAGTGAAGTAAGGTCATGTCAGAACAGAGTAAGAAGAGAGAACTCACCAGAACCCCAACCTGCTGCACCTTGACCTGGGAATTCTAGCCTCCAGAACTGTGAGAAAATTAATTTCTGTTGTTTAAACCACCCAGTGTCTATTACTTTTTGAATAATAGATAACCAGTATCTATTATTTCTTGCAATGATCTAGGTTTGTTTTCGGTTTTTTGAGTTTTGTTTTTTTTTTTTCTAGATATTTGCTAAATACAGCAAATAGTAACCAATACACACTATCAACATGCAATTATTCAGTTTCTCCTAGATCTTCAGGCTTAGTAGGTCTTTGATCTGATTTCCGAGTGGATATGGATGATAGATGATAAATTCCTCTAATGTGTGCATTTGGGTTGCCAGATCTCCAGTTCCAACTTCCTCACTGCATCCAACTTGACCATCAAGCCAAAATCACATGGTTGTAGGTTTTCAGTATGAGTGAATTCCACTTCAAAGTACCAATCTCTGTATTCTTTATTGTTTTTTAACACCAGCTGCTCTTAAAAATACACACCAACATTTCTGTGACTTTAAAACCATAAAAGTTTATTCTTCACTCTTATAACAGTACAATACGGGTATTCCTTGGCAAAAGGTAGCCTATTCCACATGATGACTCAGAGAAAACAGATTTTTTTAATTGAAAGCTGCTGAGATCTGAGAGACCTCTTCCAACGAAGAGAAAGTGAAGAAAGCACATTAGCTCCACAATGTCCACGGTCAATCGTGTAGCAACTGACTAACCCATTAGCTCAACAGTCACAGAGTCTTGGTTCACGATACACTTAAGGATGCATAAAAATATTTTGTTTTTTAAAACAGAAAACAAAATGGGCATAATAATGAACATAGAGTAGTGAATTAAGCCTGGATTATATTTATCTTTATACCAAGACAGTTTAACATATATTTTATGGAAGAAGAGTCCACTGACATCTAAAGCACCTAGGGGCATTACAAATCGCAATGGTAGCATTTCAACATACTTTGAGAACTGTGTAAACATCCTATGGCCTCTATAACAAATGACCACAAACTCAGTAATTTAAAACAACAGAAATTAATTTTCTTACAGTTCTACAGTTCTGGAAGCCAGAAGTCCAAAATAGTTTTACTGGGTCAAAACCAAGGTGTCCAAGATAACTTCAAAGGTGAAGTGAAGCTTAACAGATGCCAGAAGTCAGTATCAAAAAATGGAGTCAGAATATTTATTACACCATCTATGCAAGAGCATTTGATCCTTATCATCATGAGAAAGAGATGTTTTTACAGAATTGGGAATAGATGAAAGATGAACATGTGCAGTAACCTTAACCAGAGGCAAACATAGTAATCAGTGACTCAAGATATGGAAGCTGGAGGGTCCTACTCTTATCACCAGATGAGCTACAGGGACCAAGTGCAGGGGGAATGTAGAATGGACAGTGGAAGACCATTGGAGGATCTGCTTCCTGGAATTATATGAACAAATAGATTTCATCAGCATAAGAAGTGGGTTGTGTTTGACATGGAGTTGCACCCTACAAATACTTCCTCAAGAAAGAACTGTATCAAATGATAGGGGTCTTGTCAATAGACAATTTTCAGCTTTTGGCCCCTTGAAGGACATCCTCAGTTGCAGAGCTTTCTGGCCCATATCCGATGACTGCAGTGGGTACATGAAGGCTCAGCCATTTTAGCTCAGTGCAGAGCAACTAAACATTTCAATTCCTTAATCCCTTGTGCAGTAAACCAAGGCTGTTGATACTTGGGTCTCCATTTCACCTTGACTTCTGCCTCTGCCCAATTCTGCTTCCCTTCCTTCCCTTTTAATAGACATCAATCCAAAAAATACTCTTTAATAAACATCCTGTACGATAAACTATTTTATAGTGTACATCCTGGAGAATATAACCTGTAGCATCTCCAGTAGTGCTACCAATTTCTCTTTTTCTTGGAATAAGGCTAATGTTAAAGATTTAAATATTTGTGTAACCATCCCTCCAATTCTAATGTTAAAGCCCAAAACCTCAGTGTGTCTATATTTGGAGTAAGGAAGTAGTTCAGTTTAAATGAGGTCATAGGAGTAGGCTCTTAATCTGATGGGATTAGTGTTGTCATAAGAAGGGATACCTGAGAATTCACACTTTCTCTGCCACAGGCACTGAGAAGAAGCCACATGAGGTAGGCCCTGAGCTAGGGAACAGAAGTCTGAAAATGAGGACGCCCCAGCTTCAATGCTGTTTTCACTTCCTGATGCTGGCCAACAAGAGTGAGACAACTAATAATGACAGGTTTCTTATCGATGTCTGGCTCTGTGATGAGCACATTACAAATTTTGCAGCAAGGAATAATCACAAAATCTGATAACATGATATTATTAGTGTTCCCATTTTCGGGAGTGAATGAGGTATTGGGTTTAAATACCTTGTCTAAGTTCACGAAGGAGTTAAAGTAGCAAAGCCGAGACTGTAACATTACTCTAGTTTTACCAAACTCTGACAGCAATGAATTTCCTGTGCCACAAATTACTTTCCCTCTCTGGGCTTCCAATTTATTATCCAAAAACTAAAGTGTGAACTATACCAAGAGTTAGCAAACCTCCATGCAAATTATTATTTCTAATAAGAAAATACTTTTGTGGACCACATACTTTTCTAAATAGACTTATTTATTTCAATCTGAAGCATAATATCTGCAAAAGCACTTATGTGTATTTTATTATTTTCCTGTCACTGAATAGTTTCACCACAGAGTTAGAATTTCAGACATTACATCATCAACACTCATTGTGATGTTTATGTGTGCTGAATTCTAATGCTGGGGTTTTGAATATGTATTGAGATGAAATCTAGTTTGGTAGCTAGAGTGGGATGGCAAGCACAGACAAGGGAAGGTTGTTGAAAGATCTTGGGATAGGAAGATACCAAATTTCAGTGAGAATGGAAACAAAAAGACTTTTTAACTAAGAGATTAATATGTGAACAAGTGGGACAGGAGTACAACATTTGGAATAGAGACTAATTGGAATGAAGAAAAGAAGGGACTAAGACACGTGTGAATGAATAACTTTCCTTCTCTTCCAAATTATAAATTAGCAATAAGGAAACTTTTTTGGTGGAGACATGGGCTTGTACAGGGAAGTTCATCTCAGTCTCTCTTGTCTATTGTCCTTTGCTTGTTAGGTCACAAAGCCACATCCCTGGCAGTAGCTCTGAATTTGTGACTCAACCTTATAGCAAAAGCACATTTTTAGCTGTTATTTACAGTTCTAAAAATAACACAGAGAGCCATTGTGATGGGGTTGGAGGAAGAAGTTTGAGAAGTTCACATTCAAGCTACTGTATTTGCAGTATTTTAAATTCAGCAGACTTATTATTAATACACTTGGATATGGGGCCCTGACCTTCATTACAACTGTTCTCCTCAGGTCTGAGGAGCGGGCATTGACCAGCCCAGTCAAATTGCTTGGAGCTCACTGTGGAGGTGGGGGTGGAGGGTGGGCGAAGGGAATGAAAAAGAAAAATGCACAGACATAGATCTTTCCTGTGCTTTGGGTAATGACTCGTTTATTGACTATCCGAATATTTGGTTACAGGAGTGGCTTCTTTCACACCCAATGCAGTTCAGTCAGGGTCCAATCTCTACCCTGCACAAAAGAAAGCACATCCAAGCCCACATCGATCCCATCAGGCTATGCTATTTATTTATTTCCCATTGCAATAAGCACATGCAATTAGCCAACATCTTTCCCAACTACACTTCTGTTGGATCCACAACTTTCCCTAGAAAGAGAATGCTCCTGGTGCTTTTTTCCAAAATCAATAACAGAAAAGACCTATCAAACTGGATGATAGGGTGAAGGAGAGTTATCTCAGGCTGATCCAGGAATCTAACTTCAGGGACAGCTACAGCTTCGGTGCCCTTTTCACCAACATGCAGCGCAGATTTGTGGGCAGCCTGTGGAGGGAGAACAAACACTGTTGGTTCCCTAAGAAACAGGAAAAGTCTTTGGAGTGATTTGGAAGCAGGAAAGGAAAATGAAGCCTAGTACCCTTTTGCTGTCTGTGTAAAAAATGCTTGAGTATGAAGGCTTCTTGGCTAAATGTAGTTAATCAATCTCTGGTGGTTTTAGACCTCCTTATCAGTAAACCACCTCTTTCTGCATGGCCTTCTGTCTCTAGAAGTCTCTTCTTATGCCTTCTTCCCTACCCCCTCCACCTCTTCCAAGACCATGTTTCATGAGACTCAATTCTGATTACTAAGTCCTTCTTTCAGAATCATTTTAGGCCAAAAGATCAGAGGTGAAAGTAACTGTTCCAGTGACTTGTTTGGTGGCAATGAGAATACTGTGGAGTGAATTTAGCATAGGAGGAGTCATGCTGCCTCTCTAGCCTTCAGAATCCTCATTGTTGAAATGAAAGAATTGAATTACCTGACTCTCAATGGCCCTTCCAGCTCCTACATTCCAGGAGTCTAATATACCAACTTACATTGGAAAGTTTAAGGCCATTGTCTTCTGTGAATCCAGGAAAATCAGCATTGTCAGCAAAGGCATCCTGGATACCCATCTTCAGTAGGATGGTGCCAAGCTCGTATGTGGCAGAGATGGAGAACTTTGGAACAAATACATCAATCCACCTGTGGGGAGAGTGGGAGGAAACCCATGGTTATCAGCACACCAATTTCATTATTCCCTCCCTCTGTCTCCATGATATTATATCAGACTCTGCTCCTTCCCTAGGTGTTGATAACCATTGCTCTGCAGGTCAACACAGGGTACCAAAACTTTAGAAGTTATCCTGGAAAAGAATGAGCTCTGTTTCAGCCAATATTAGGCTGCAGCACTGAAAGTAGGGAGATGTGACTCACTTATAATCACAAGGAAACATCTCTGGCATGTTGGCCAAGATTGTGGAGCTAGTGGCATGAATGTCAGTGAGTAGCATCTGGGGAATTTTATGGTTTTCTATCTTGTAGTCCCAGCTCATTATGGCTGCCCACAAAACCTCTTAACATCTTAACCTTACCCATCATCCAAGCTTTAGTTGGCCTCTGGGAAGGCATCAATTTACTAGCTGGTTGACTTTGAAAGACTCATTTTGTCTTTCTAGCCCTGACATCCTCAAAAAATGCTATAATACTCTCTCCTTTACAGGTTTGTTGATATTCTTAGAGGAAATGAAGTTTATGAAATGCCTGGAGAAGGACTGGCACAGATTATGTTCTTGGCCTACACCATTGCTAATCACATAGTAGATTAGTGACAGAGGGTGACTCTCTTGCCTCTATGTTTCTTTTGAACGCAGTCTCACTTCACCATTATTCCCACCTTCCACTTCTCACATTATCTAAGATATTTACCCCTTCTGCAGTAAGCGGTTCCATTTCTTCAATATCTTAGATGACATGGCCCCTTCAACCCACTCCATCTGGCCCTCTTTGGGAAGGACAAAGAGTGCCAGAGCATTCTTGCTGTAGTCCATTTGCAACACTGTGCAATTCAACTCTGTATCCACCAAGTGATAGTATTGTTCCATCTGATGCATCATGGGCACATGAACCATGGTGGTCTTGTCCACTAAAAAGCTGGAACCTTCTTCTGTTTTGGATGGATCAAAAGGATTTGCCCACTGGGCTTAAAATGCAGAGAGAAAAATATTATTTGTTTAAATCAGTATATTGCAAGTGTGACAGTGTGAGCTTTCTACCAGTCATCTCCTCTAGTCCTCAAGACCACCACAGAGGTAGGTGTCTACTGTCTACAAGTTTTAAAATGAGTAACTAGGGTCAGGAAGAAAATTGACCTTAAATTGCCTCCCATCAGGTCAGTGGCAGGGCCAAGAGTCATACCCAAGGCTGTTAGACTCCATGGCCTGTGTTCAAAACCATTATATTTACATTAAACCCATCAGAGCCAGTTTCCTCTTCTGTAAAAATGTATAAGCACATCCAACAGCGGGTGAAATGAGACAAAAGATCTGTTGTGCTATATTATCTGTCTACAAATGAGTGGATTTTGGTCAAAAAGTGGTTCACTCCTCCACCATCCATGACTGACATATGCTATGGAATCGGGAGAAACCACTTGAGTACAGCACCTTCTAAAAAGAGTCACATGATCCTCATTACAAGCACCAGTTTTAGAAACAAAAATCTTAGAGCCTTACCTTTAAAGTGAATATAGTTCACCAGGATCATGATTGTGTTCGGTTTGAGGTCTTGGATGAGGCCCACGACGTCCCCTTTGGTTTGCTTCTCCACATGACTATTGATCTCCTGCTGGGCTACAGAAACATTGGAGAAGTCGATAGAAAAGACTTCAGTCTCAAAGAGGCTCTTGACATCATCCAAGAACTTTGCCAGTGGTTTCAGCTGCTTCCCAATGAAGAGGGCATTTCCCATCTGTAATTCCAGCTCCTTCTTTGGAAAATTCAGTGAACAGATCAGGTGCTGGAAGCCCTGTTGGATCTCTGCTGTTGGGGTATCTGTGAGGTTGAACCCCAAGCTTTCCAGGATTTGAGTTTGGGTGCTGGAGTAGGCCCCAAGGGAGAGCATGGCCAAAGCTGCAGAAATGCTCACAGGGGAAAAGAAGATATTCCGACCTGGGGTCTCCACAGTGAACCTCCGGTACAGGTTGAATGCAAAGTCAGCATTGATGGATGACATCTTATAGAGAGTGGCATTTTGTTGGGGGGAATGACAGGTGGTTACTTTGCCTTCAGAGCTCTTAAGTGGTGCACACTGAAGCCCATGTACCAAGAAAACCAGATAGAGGAACAGTGGCATTTTGGAAGGAAGGTAATCTATAAGAGATGAGGTAAGAGAACCATTGGGGAAGCTTAGCTGTATGAAAACAGAGCCAGATGTGCATAATAATCATCCATCATGATTAGCGAAAACAATAAAAAAAATTTAGTGGTGTACTCATCATGAGTTGGGAGATGTCTCTCTCCCCTGAAAAAAAAATGAGACCACGTCTTATAGGGGCAGGGAGTAGGAGAGGTGGCTTGCCAGGGCCACGGAATGTGGGGATAGACCCTCATTCAGATACAATAGTGACATGCTGTGAGCAAATTAAATTTATGGAATTTAGTTACTTTTCATTTGATCCATTTGAAGCCTTTTGAGGAGAGGTAGATTCTTAGGTAAAACTAACATTACTTCTGTTTACATTATTTTGGTGAATTAAAATTGTGGATTTTATTTTTATTTTGACAATTTTCTTAAGATCTATAAGAGATAAGAAAAAACCCTTTGAATAAAAAGACAAAAGGAGAATAATTATCACAAGATACGTTTAGTTGGAATGGAAGTGTAGTGGTTTATGGAGCTGTATACAAAGTCATGAGTTGGAAATTCATGCATTTGTGCATGCAAGGAAGCCACAGGCGTAGTTCTGAACAACTGGAAGTTAAGCGTATAACTTCTTGCATTTCAGATTTCAGTCCCCATCAGTATCATCTTAAGAGTCACTTCTAAATTGTAAGAAGTCGGAACACTTTTACTTAAACTAATGCATACTATTTTTAATTATTAGAGAAGTCAGGAAAAAAAAAAAGATGTAAGATGATGTAAGATTCTGAGTCTGGAAAAATACAAGGCAGTGGAGTAAGAGGGTCAACTGTGGAATCCAAATGACCAGGGTCATGAGTGATGACCAAGAAGAGATCCATGGAGTTAGGACAGGAATCCTTCCTCATCCTTCCACTCTCTTCCTCAGCCATCTCAACCACACCCAGGAACTCATCTGCTACTTCCAAACTTCATCCTTTAGTCCACATTGCTCCTCTGAGCTCCTAGCCATTTGTCTAACTGCTTTCTAGACATATCCACCATGGTGGATGCACACATACCTTAGTCTCAATTTGGACATCTCAGTATTTCCAAAGGTGCACACCTGCTCTCAAGAATCTTCATTCCACATCACTATCTGCTTAGATTCCCATGCTTTGTTCATTCTCATTCACGATATCTAATAAGTCATGATACCATAGAAGTACTACCTCTTCAATACCCCCCAAAACTTCTATCTCTTCTTTCTACTTCTACTGCCTCAGTTCATGGCCAGAACTACTGCATCAGCAAATAGATGATCACAGTGCCTCAAATCTCTTCCGTTCAAACTCCCCTGCAACTATCCTTCTATCTAATCTCCACATTGTCAGTTTTTCTGGAAAAAGTCATCAAAGATAGTAGGTCAATTATTTGATGGCCACACTTAGGCCTTGACCTCTAGAGCTAGGAATTTGGAACTCGTGGTTATTTGGGATTCTCACTTACTGGCGGAAATATTCAAAGTTCCTAAAGAGGAAAAAAAAAAAGTACTTACAGCACATGCCCAAGAAGCCACTTGCATCTCTCAGAAAGCTAACCTTTCCTTCTTTATAATGTGCCCTGTATTGCAAAAGTAGAGCACTCTTAGTTACTTATCAACCCTGGCATAAACCCCAGGATGATATTTTCAAAGCTGATGCACAAAACAAGGCCAAAAAAAACAAAGTGAAAATACGATAAAGAAGGAGCTTTGAATAATTGCTTTGACTGCTGGATCCCTCACCTGTAACAACATAGAGAGAGGATGTCAGAGCTTGCAGGGACCAGGCTCATGCTAGGAAATGTATCTTTTCCACGGGGAAGATGAGGACTAGATGCACAAATGCTAAAAGCAACAGCATAAAGATGGGGAGATGGGAAGATGTTCTCCCTAGCAGGATAAAAAGCTGGGACTGGCAGCTTTCTAAGGGAAAAATGCATGCAGGCAGAGGTCAGGTAAGCTACCCTAACAGATGCTGTAGGAATTGTTTATGCATTGGCGTGGAGGAGATGATGTCAAAGGAAACTTCCAACTCTACACTTTTGCTGCGGCACACATCTTAGTCTGCTCAGAGGGAACCCAGCCAGTCCAGTCTTCTGATTACTAAAATCCTCGGTTTGGGTTCGCTGTGCCATCTCCTGGTCCACTCCAAAAGAGGATGCAGAAAGAGCCCAAGAGAGTGGAACCAAAGATTTCACTCTCCAGTATTGACTGTGTACTAAACTGTGTGCTGCAAAGAAGCACTGGGAGCAAAGAACACTGGACTCAATCAGGAGACCCGAGTTTAACTTTGCATCTGCCTGTTTCCAGCTCCACTGTGGTGGGTGGGGGTGGTAATAGTAGTGGTCGCAATAGTAGTAGTAATGGTAGCAGCAGTAGTAGCAGTAGCAATAGTAGTAACAACAAGCCCTGCTTATTGAGCATTTACCATGCACAGGGCATGATGGGAAGTGCTCAATTCCAGACACTGCTTCAGGATACATTAAGCATGTACATATGTTAATGAGGGGTGGGGTTGGGGAAACAGGCACTAATTTGAGACAAGCTTAGCCCAAGCCTATGGCGGCATTTGGAAACGAAGTTAAACAATGCAGTCTTTACCTTGAGGGCACTAGAAATCTGCTGGAGGATTTTGACTACTCCCTGACTAGATGGAGGGTGAAGTGCTATGACATTGTTTCTTCTCAAACACAGAGGTCCTACTATGAGGAAAGCGCCCGACTCAGGACTGGGGTTTCAGATATGATGGCTAAATATAGGCAGTCTCTGGAACCCAAGGGATCTATCTAACTCCCTGACACTCACTGACCAAACTGAGCAGGACAGGGCACACCGCACATAGGGAGGTTGCTGGTGCACCTGCCCCACAGTGAGGCGGTGGGAACTCTGATCTCCTGACGCTGACACCAGTGCCTGCTCACTCCTGGTATCCCACAGGCTGCAGTCTCCTGCTGCTGGTCACTGTAGAAAAAACAATCTGTGAAGAAATTTTCCGAGTCTGTGCCCTCTGGTGGCAGTCAGACTACACACGACTAGTTTTTTTCAGCATCTCATTCAGTTGAGTTTGCTAGCGGGTAGAAACGTCAGTGTCTGTCACTAACAGATGAGAAGGGCAGCCCTCCTCGTGCCTCCTCCTGTCTTGTGCTCTGCGGTCCTGTATGGCTATCATGTCTTTGCTATGGATTGATAATAACTGTAATTTGTAATTTGGGGAATTTACTTAATATCCCTAACCTCGTTTCCCTCACCTTTATAGTGGAACAGTGACAATCTCCTCATCACGTGGTCATTGAGACTATGAAGTGAAATATAGAGGTGGTGTCTAGATCTAGAAGTTCTTTGTTCTGTATGTTTTTTTTTTTTTTTAAGATTTATTTACTTATACAAAAACCGGGGTACAGGCCAGCTGTGCGGGAGGGTGAGAGGATTCACCAGAGACAGAGCGGGGAACAGAACAGGCAGACTGACTGAAATACACTGCTGAGGGCAGCAGCGGGTAAGACAGGAGAGGTCTGCAATGCCATGTGGTTATCTCCTTAGCCAGTCGGGAATCGAACCTGCACTGCAGAGGCTGCGGGCAGCTTCACAGTGCTGCACTCAACCACCTGCGCCACCAGGAAGGCCCTGAAAGTTCTTTGTAATGTTGGCACATGTGACTTCTGAACTGTTAATTCTCTTCCCTTTCATCTGTTATTTTGATTGTCTTCCCCCACTCCAAGTCTCCATGAGTCCTGTACTTGGTCTCTTCTAGTCCCCATGCTGCTGCTCAGTTCTGCTTACTGGAAATCCATTCCCTCTAAGATAAAATTCGTCAACTATTAATGTGTAGCATTTTTTTAAAACTTCAATTTAATACAGTAATTTCAGTTTTTTATAAATCTGCTGAAGCTAACACATTGAAAAGAAAATATCTAGGTAGTGTATCCATATTATCAATAATAACTCAACCAGTTCTAAAATTATGTATCTCCCTCTTTGAATGAATACTATCATAATCCATTCTCCCACAAATTCCTCAAAATGGTGTTTTAAAAAGTCCACAGTTTACAGTTTCACAGCTCCAAGTTTCTTTTTCTTATTTTTACTTCATATTTGATCCTTTACCCCAGTTTGGGAGTAATGACGGGCTCTTACTCTAGTTAGAGTTCTGCAAATATTAATGAGTGTGGGATGATGGCATTAGAAAACTGAATTTTTTTTTTTATATAGAAGAACTGGGTGTAGGCCAGAGGTGCCGGGGGCGGGGGCGGGGGGGGGGTTGGTAAGAGGATTCACCAGAGACAGAGTGAGGAGCAGAACTGGAGGATTTACTGAAATACACTGCTGAGGGGCGCAGTGGGTGGGACAGGAGAGGTCTGCTGCACCATATGTGGGTTAGCTCCCTAGCTTGGGATCTAACTCAGGCCGTAGAAGGAAGTGCTGAAACTTAACCCCTAGGCCACTAAGGAGGCCCAGAAAACTGAATTCTTTTTGCAATTTAAGTTTCACAACCAAGGAAATTATTGGGTATTTAAACAAAAAATGTAAGAGCCTTATTAAAGAGAGGAACTGTTTCTGTCAGCAAGGGAGGCTCAGTGGCACTATTGGGCTTAAGTTCTTTTAATGCTCTCAATGTTCCTATTATTGAGTTCTTACTGTTTTTCTTTCAGTGGCTAACTTTGACAAACATGACCTGTCAATGCATGGAAATCAATGAATTCTATAATTTGTTATTTCACAGGATCAAGTACAGACTATAGGATGTGACGCATTTAGCTTTCCAGGTGCATTAGATGAGAAATTCTATTTGCATGTTTCCTGGCTTCAGCAATAATCCCTGAGAAAGTGAGTTAGGAATTTAGGGTTTTAAGTATGGATTTCTTTTTCTTAAGCTTTCTAGTGCCATCAGAAGCTTTCACTTCACCCATCAATCTTTGACTTCATGTGGTAAGAGATAGAAAATATCAGCTAAAGACATACAAATATGTACAATAATTCTAAAG